GTGGGTAATTTGTTTTTTTTTTTTTTTTTTTTTTTTTTTAGTGGTGCTTCTTGTTGCCATAAATTTAAAAGTCTGTATTTATGCCATAGAGTAATGTGATCTCTCACTTATCTGCAGCATTCAGTTGCATTTGTGCTTGTATTTGGTCACTAAATAGACTGATCTTGTTCATGAATTTTCTTTTTAAGGTTTTGATAACCTTGTACTGGCTGGGAAGAAAAGCACAGAGTAACCCATATTATAGTGGTCCCTATCTTAATTTGAAAGCATTTGAGAATCTTTTAGGACAAGCTCTGACTAAGGTAAGAAAACAGGCATGAGACAACCACTGTACTAATACCATGACTTTCTTCTCCTCCTCCCTAACAAATATGATGGTTCTGACTGTCTTTACTCCACTCTTGACTGGGCTAAGTAGACAAGATTGTTACTTGTCTGGTGCTTCATGTGCTACTACCACGAAGTGAACCTATTCCAGAGCACTTTTCCAGATCTAGAGATTTATCTCTTAACTTCAGATAATTTGGTATTATACCTATTTGCTTCTTTTCTTATAGGTTGCACAGCTTAAATGTTTCTATGCTCATTATGAACTCAACTGCAGTAGAAAGGCATTTTTAGGGCTATTAAAATTTATAGAAGTTACTCAATTTCTTTATATTAATGTATTCTTATCCTAAGTCATTGTCTCTAATGATCACATACCAATATAACTGTACTGCCTTTGTTTCCTGAAGAGTAGTGAATGCTGAGTGAAATTTTGTAAGGTTTTTAAGCTGGAATCCTTTTACATACATTTCTGTTCTTTCCTATCTTAGACATAAGTGTGACAGCTTTTGAATGCTTATGGACTGTTTAAAATAGAAAAGAGCTGAATGCCAAGACAGAGGGACCATAGTTCTGCCAAAGTTCATTAATAAGACCCAAATGGGAAAATAATGTCTCCAAGAAGATAATTTCTCCAGGGGAATGTTCAAGCCTTAGAAGAAGATATACAGTCAAAATAGTAAAGCAGCATCTAATTTACAGTATTAATTTTACTGTTTTATAGTGATTAAATGATGCTATACCTAGAAGGCATTTAACATTAGTCTCTGGCACAGAGGCTTGTAAAGATGCACTAAATATCAGTTATGATTGGAGGATGAAAAATTTTAGTCCTGGAGGAAAATAATCGCCTTGCCCTCCATCTACCTCTTTACATTTAAAATTTACTTTGTCTGGATCCAGCCATGTACTTAGAGAAAGGGGGAATTGAAGCGTCCAGGTACACCTTTACTTTCCTTTTGAATTATAAAGAGTTGATATCACTTTATTCTAAAACTACAGATGAGTTAATAATTCAGGCAGTATTTGAGATACTAACAGGGACACATATTGTATAGATGTTGGGAAAACACTCCTGGAAAATGACTCAGCCTCACTGAAGTATGGTTGTGTGAGACAGAGTAGCAAATCTGTCACTGAGATGAGAGAGGGTGTGGCTCTGAAGGATGAACTGCTGAGGGCTTTGGCCACAGGTAGAGAGCATTGCTTTACAGTTGTTTCAACTAAGAAAACATTCAAATAAAAACTGGGTAGGACTTTGTTTCATATACTAGTTCATGTCCTTTATAGACTTTGGAGCTTTTTATGACAGTGACTCAGGTTGAACAATCTTAAGATAGTATTTTTGCTAGGAATGCCTCATGACAGGCCATTTCTTGTCACCAGTGTCAACGTCAGAGTGAGTAAAAGGAATTTTTGCTAGATAAAACTACATTTGGAATGGCCATGAGAAGCATATGAATATGTCACCTGGACTGCATCAGTTCTATAAAAGTCAAACTCATTATGCTATCACACTTTCCTATTTAAGTAGATAATGCTTAGTACCAATCTAAAATTGCAATTGAAAAATACTTGGCATAAAGTATTGTATTAGAGTCATTTTATAAGTTGAAGGTGAGTCACTTTAGGGGACATGTCAGAATGAAGTCCTTAAAAGCAAGACTCTGAGGGCCAGGCTCCAGTATTTTATGACTGAGATGGCCCAACAGTCACTCTTAAGGTTTTGATGTCAAAAATCATTTTGATGTGTGCTAGCTCTAAGGTGTCAACAAAGTATGTGCTTAAGAAACCTGATGAATTTAAAGGTTTACTTATAAAATTTAAATATTCTTATGTATTCGATGAGTACTTAGTTGTTACCAGCACTAGGCCTAGCTTTACCGTCTGCTTGAAAATATCAGGGTAAAAGATAGGGCTGGCATTTTCATAACAGGATGTCAACTCTTAATTCTAGGATATTTGGCATCTAAAGGATATGAAATGTCATATAAATATGCTAGACCTTATTTAAGCTTCAAACACTTGTCAAACAATTGAACCATGAAGTAGTGGCTCTATCATGAGTCTACTGTAAGCCTGGGACAGCTGGTAATGACTCAGTTTACATCTTTTTCATATGTTGAACATATACATAATTAAAAATTTAAAATAACACACATACTCCTAATCATCATCTGACTCAATTATTGAAATTTCCCATATTGGCTTTATGTATCTATCATCTGTCTTTAGTTTTACTTACCCATTTTAAGATAAATTCCAGATACCATATCTCACTCCTAAATACTCAGCATGCATTTCCCAAGAGTAAAAATATGCTTCTGATAGTCATCATTTATATTAAGAAATTTCATATATAGTTCTGTTATTTATCCAGGCCATATTAAGATCCCAATTTCCTACCAGCTACTTTTCATAGCTCTTTTATGAAAAATCTAAATCATAATTTATCAAGGTTTATATATTTGGTTATTAGCAATTTCTGTGTTCTTCAAACTATCTCTGTATTAGTAATATCATCTGTAAGTAATATTGATTTTTTTACTATAATGACAAAATTACCTTTACTCTATTAAAAATTGTGGTTACTAGGTATTCATTTAGTACTGCATTTCAGGATTATGCTAAGGACTTTACAAGTTTTACTTAAATTCAAATTTTAAAAAGTTCAATTATATCGATTATCTTTTGTCCTTAAGTCTCTTTGAGAGGTGTTAATTAAAAATTCTTATTCTGTGTAAGTTCTATATACATACAGCATTTTCATTCTTAGTCTCTTATATAAGCCAAACAAATATTTTATTTAGATCCAAGAAAGATAAATTTTATGTGTTAGCAAACAAGTGTGCTTCCCTTGACTCAGTCAGGAAGACAACAGAGCTACTAGCATCTTGAATCTTGGTTTTAAAATTAGTGAAAATAAACAGGTTCTGTAATATGTATACCTAGTATTATTTTTTTATTTTGTTATCAGGGATAGAACTCAGGACCTTGTGCTTGCAAGGCAGGCGGCAGAACCACTGAGCTAAATCCCTGGCCCAATTTTTTTTTTCTAAAAAACTTTGTTATACAGCACGGTGCATAGGTTTAAAGAACTTTATACCTATTATGGTTTTATGTTTAATATAAACCATATTAACTTTTTTTTGGAGATATATGGAATAATCTTGATTTATTTCCAGTTAGATGCCTAAATTAAGATTAGTTTTGTTTTCTTTGACTCCTTTCATGTTTATTTGCCAGCAAATTGTAAGTGATCATTGATTATAGCATTTCAATATTATTTTAGTCAACTGATTTTATTAGGCTCTTTCATATTACTTATTTTTAGATAGAGTATACCACTTTATTAACCATATTGAATGTCTCCTTATTGTATTAGTGGTGGGAAAAGAATTGGAGACTTATTTTCTGATTTTTATCTATCAGCTTTTGAACAATATACAACAGGGAAATCTCACTGTCTCCACCTATCAGATGATGCACAACCTTTACATTATTGGCAGTGCATACTAAATTACTGTTCTTTATAAAATGTTTTCTGTAGGCACTTGAAGACTCTGGCTGCCTGAGCAAAAGTGGCCAGGACAGTGGTTACAGCAGTAGCTGGTATCCTGACCGGGGAGAATTTCCTGCTCCTCCAGGCAGCCATAAGACGGAAGATTCCTTTGAAAGCTTAGATTCCTTGGGGTCTAGGTCACTGGCCAGCTACTCCTCGGGTATCGTGCTGCGAGGAGGTCGTGAAGGTGAGTTGGATTTTGGGCTATTTATTTTTTTAACATAATAGAAAATTAAGAGCAGGAGAAAGTAGAAAAAAGGAATAAAAATTAGGCAAAAATTTCACCAAGATCTTTATCTTAAAGATTTGTGTAACTAGGGGTTTCTTAATTTTTCCCTTTCTCATAGTGTGTGATAGTTTCCATTTTTGACAGAACTGGTGAGGATATAGTTCAGTGTGATTTGATTTATTAGTGATAATCCAGCCTTTTTAAATTCTGGATTAATTTTTGTGTAAGAAGCCTATTAGCTGATATATCTAAACATAGAAATGAACATAAGTAAGATTCTGTAAAAAATAACTGTTCTAGCTCGTGAGTAACTGTCTTTCTTCTCCCTCAAAGATTTTAAAAGTCAAGGAGTAAACAGGAGGAATATTTTTTAAGATTACCTCTAAACTTAGATAGATTGGGTAGCATGCTACATAATTGGGTGGTAAGAAATATCTTTTGGTCAAATCAGAGTCAGAGCTAACCCAAGACAGAGCAAACCTGAAAGGAATATGTCAAGGCAAATGCTGTCCAGGGAGCCTTTTTTTAAAATACCAAGACTGTGGTCAAGTCACTTATTTAAGTACACAGTATTCCTGTGGGTACTAGGTAGAGTCAGCAATTTTTGAATAAATCTCCAGCTACTATGAAATGACTAGATTGAAACAACAGTTAGAATTTCTTGAAATGTTGGGGATGTAGCTCAGTGATTAGTGCAACCGCCTAGCATATGTGAGGACCTAGCTTCCATCCTTAGCACATGCCAAAAAGAAAAAAACAAAATCTTAGAATAATTCTGTACTTCCACCATTGTCATCATGAAACATTGAGAATTCTTTGTGAATTCACGCTTGATTATTAGGGATTTCACTTTGTGTATTCTGGATATTGGCTTATATTTCTAAATTATTTCCTTAGGCATTTATTATGAAAAATTTCAAACATAAACTATAATAAATTTGTTTTCAAAAATCAACCATTGTAATAAAAACTAAATTCTTACTCAGATATGGTGGTCCATGTTTGTAATCTCAGCCCTCTAGGGGAGGATTCCATGTGTAAGCCCTGCCTGAGGAAAACTCATTTGGCAAGACCTGGTCTCAAAATACAAAAAGGTCTAGGGATATAGCTCAGTAAAAAGGCCTTGGTTTCAATCCCCAGTGTGAAAAAAAAATAAAATCTTTAGATTTTAGAGTATTGGTGTTAAAAATATCAAAAGTTATTTAAGCACCAATTTTTATAATTACTATTACATTTGTTGGCTGTTTGCTATCTAGGTATGACATTTTCATAGCCTGGATGATGTTTACTATGCCTTTAAGGAAATCTGAGTTTATAATTCATCTGAGTGATTAAAGTTGTAAACTCAGAGTCTGAAATTCTTAGTCTGCTATATTACTTTGTCTGGACTGAAGCACCTGCAACATGTGATGTTTAAATTTTTATCTGGCCAACAGAGATTAAAAATGAGAAGATTGCAAGCTTGTGGGCATAGGCAGACTTCAGTCTGTACAGCTGTGGCAGGTCACTGGTCCTCTCCTCAGACACCCAGGAATGGTACTGGGTGTCTGTAACCTAAAGTAGAAGAAGGCTTTGATCACACTGCTTCCTGGTCTCCAAAAAAGCCTTGTGAAAAGGAGCTGTAGATAGGTGGAACTTAAAGGACTTGGAGGTCTTGGCAGTTACCGCTGTGTAGCCAGAGGGAATATTAGGATGATAAAGTATTTCTGTTTGTAGTTTTTTAGAATTCTGCTGCTTCCCACAGGGCTATAGTTGTTAGCACCACAGTTTAGGGTAATATTTTTGGGATAAAAGAATTGCAAAATGAATTTTCCTAGTTTCGTTTGAAAACATATCAAGAATGAAAGTTAAGCCCATGAAACTGCAGAGCACAGCTCTGGGCTAAAAAGAGATTTTAACTTAAAAAATTCAGAAGTAGAATACTTCATGATTTTAATATTTCACATGTACATTTTGAGTAGGGTCATTGGCACATTATTTTACTTTTTTGGTACCCGGGATCGAACCTGGGACCTTGCGCCTGTGAAGCAGGCAGCAGGCCCACTGAGCTAAATCCCTAGCCCTGGCACATTATTTTGGAAGGAAGAGAAAAGTCTTATTTAGGAGGTGGTAAAAGGAACTAGATTATTGACTCTCAATCCTCCTGGCCATATCTGACAATGTTTTCTCTGTTTAGTTTTGCTGTGACTGTCTTCTTACTGTCCCTGTGTCCCAAATGTGTGTCAAACCACTTCCTGACGAGTATTCTCAGTGTTATTTACTATCGACTCCTGCCAGAAAGGAGAGAGGAGACTGGATTGCCTGGAGCTCAGGTTGGCCATGCAGGAGCTCTGTGAGCTCAGAATCTGAGCTGTCAGGTGCTGTGCAGAGTCTGCCTCTGGGAGAGCCTTGTGGGAAACAGGCAGTGTGTGCACACCTTCACAAATGTGCGTGAGGCAGGCAGAGAGGAGGGCAGGAATGAATGAGACTACTCAGTTTGAATCTGTCATCTTATTTTCTCCCTTCTTTTCTTCCTGTTTCTTTTAAGGAATGGGTTTTTGTTGTTATGAATGTACATTAATTACTACTCGTATCTGTCTGACCTTGATATCAAAGGGTATCCTTATAAGCTTTTTAAAAAATTTTTTTAAAAGTCTAAATACAATGTGCTCAATATAATTTCTCTTGTGCTCTCATGTAGGCAATAAGACTTGAGATTCTTTTGGGAATTTAGAAGTCACCCAACCTAACCTCATGTCTGATGTGTTCTTGTTCATAGGCTCTCATAAAAATCTACCAGACTCTTCTGCAATCTTCTGCATTTTTACTTCTCTTTCTGTGTCCTTATCTCGCCCCTCATGTAAATTTGATAGCTGCATGCCTTATTTCAAATTACCAAGTTTCCTTAGAGTTACTCTTATAACTGGTTTTAAGTGTTTGTGACTCTATTGCTGGGCTTTATTTATATGTTTACATAAAAAAATTTTATGAAACATCCTGGAGGCAAAGAAGACTGGGAATGAAAAGGGTTCAGCCATTGAATGGGTTTTTTCTGCCTAGAATGTGACAGTAGAAGAATATACTGCATGGGTTTCCAGTATGCAAAGCGAGTTCCTCCTAATGGATCTTATCACAACTTCATGACAAATTTCTAAAAATATTCTCTGCAGTTCTCAGAAGCAGCACTGGGATTCCAAGAGAAAGACAAAGCAGACACACTGAGGAATTTCAGTTAGGAGAATAATCTGGAGAATAAAGCAAATGTTTGTTCCTTCTTTATAGGTTGTGAAAGCGACACAGATTCTGAGTTTACATTCACAATGCAGGATTATAACAAAGATGATATGTCTTATAGAAGGATTTCAGCCATTGAACCAAAATCTGCTTTACCATTCAATCGTTTTTTACCTAACAAAAGTAGACAGCCCTCCTATGTACCAGCACCCTTGAGGAAGAAAAAGCCAGACAAAAATGAGAATAACCGAAGAAGTTGGGCAAGCCCGATCTATACAGACGCAGATGGGACATTTTCAAGGTATGATGATTTGGTGTGATTATGGAGTCTGGTATGTTTTCTGACTTTGACAAGGTATTTAAATATGCTAAAAAGATTAGCTCTTAAACGTATTAGATAATAAATCCCACTAATGAGATATTTTCTTCTTACCTGTGCTTTTAGTTGTGCATATCTTGAAGATATTTGTTCTTTTTTAGACTGTCAGCATATGATTTACTAGGTCTTCTTTTTTAGATGCATGGCTTCTGGTAATTGGCATTTTTCAGCTTACTAGATGACTGATAGTGTTCATTGTGAGCTCTGCTGTATTTTCTTCCCTTCTTTTCCTTTTTTGTTGGTCTTAGTGGACATGACAGGAATCCTTTAATTTCCCATCAAATTAGCAGAGCAGAGTATGACTTTTCAAACTCAACTTCTTATAAGGAGGTATATGATTCTGAAAGTGGTTCGGATGCTGAGGATGAACGAAGGTTGCCAGATGTGATTTTGGATGACCTAGCCAACCGTAGATACCAAGTGAAAAAGAGGCCTGAGAGTTTCATCTCGAAAACCACCTCTCCCAACTCTTATCTGCAAATATTTTCTCCTGATGCATTAGCCACTGGGCTGTGCACACTGACGAGGTCAGAAATATATTTGTCCTGGATCTGTATGTCTTATCTTGCTGCTGATTTAATTCAGAAAGTAACACTCCAAACTGTTTGTAATTTGTCTTTCTTTTAACACAGCTTCCAATTAAGTGTCATTAATTAGAAGTGGTTATATGCACTTAACTATTCTCTAACTAAAGTGAGATGCTGCTGTAATGCCTTAACTTTGTTCCAGGAGCTGTGGTGATAGGAATTGGGAGTTCATCTGCTTCATTCACAGTGATATAAGCTTTGTGAGCCAAAATGCATGACTCTTGTGTTCTGTGTCACAAATAGCTCACACAGTGTCTTATCTGGTTGGATGTTTTGAACAGTAACCAAAGGAGGACTTGGGGCACCAGTGTGCAGAACTGGTCAACAGTTCAAGGAACTCCAAACTCTTCTCGTTATTTGGAAGAGGAAGAAGAAAAGCCAACAGGCATACCTAACATTGTAAAGGATGACCTTTATATGCGAAAGCTAAGTCCAATCATACCAAGCCCAGGGAATTGTTTTGATCAGTTTCTTCCCAAATGCTGGACCCCAGAAGGTGTGAACTGGAAAAGAATAAAAAGGGAAACTTATAAACCTTGGTATAAAGAATTTCAGGGATTCAGGTTTGTCTCTGTGCATGTTTCTGTTCTTCCAGTGTTTATTCCATACTCTAACCTGGTGCATCTGTGTTTGTTTTTCACTTAGGAAAGGGTGAATTTCCTTTATAGATCCCATATAACTTAAGAACATTTCTTTAAATTTAAACCTTAGAATTTGGATCTTAAAAAGCCCCCTTCTATGTGTGGTCATAGCTTGCCATTAATTCCAGTAGTTTTATTCCTCTCCAATTCTTTTTCTTCCTCTTTCCCTCTTTCTTTTCTCCATGTTACTTCAAAGTAGAAGGAATTCAGACTCTGAGGATGAGGACTCAGGATCTGACAGAAGCTCCACCATTTTTAATAGAATAAAGAAAGCAGAGAGTAGGACAGATGGCAACTGCCAAAGTCCTTCATATTTGCTGGAACTAGCTACCAAACGGGCCACAAGATCACAGGACACCCATGCAGCCAGAAGAACCAGTGGCGCCTTGGATGAGCCCAGGTGCACTTGTCTGCACAAGCCCACCTGCTTGGGGTCTGGCCTGAAGCACCTAATCTGCCTGCTTTCGCTGCTGTATTAACCTCAACCTCCCTGTGCTGCAACATGGAAACATACTTTATAGATTTAGTACAAAAGCGTAATATATAACATATGTGGGCATGTAAGCCTACAAGTCTATAAGATTGGATGTTAGCACAATACTGTACAAAATAGTGTGTATTTCTTTATATATTATATAGTTCTTTTAGAAAGCCATTCCAAAAAGGCTTTTTAAGAATATTACCAAATTTCACAGTTGTGCTATGTATGGAGATATGGAGAAAGGAAACAACTTTTAGATAGAGACTGGGAGGGGCAAGTCTGATGCGAGAATGCAAAGCATTCCTCAGAGTCTTTAATAAAACTTAGGAGCAATTTAGGGTTTTTTTGCTCATCATTATACGTACCTGTTGCATAAAATATTATGGCCACCTGTTAAAACTTTGAGATCAGTGCCTCTCCGTAGTGGGGGCATGTGGCTACTGAGGCTAAGGGAATGAGAAGATGGGCACAAGGGAGTGATACAAGTAAGCCTGAGAGAGGTATCCCTGGTGCAAATTGTAGCCCATCCCTTGCCCTCAATAGTGCCCAACTATCTGGGGAAGTATGTTTTGCTTTTGTTTCTGTAAAAGATCCAGAGGAATGTCACAGATGATGGCATTTGGTGGTAGTCTGTCTGTCTTGTAAGTGTCCCTGTGACCTTAAAATAATTCACCTGCAATTACCTTTTCCCCTCAAACTTAATATGATTCTCCCTTCCTTTCTCCTCTCTCTGCTTCAGTCAATTTTTATTACTTCAGGCCCTCCAAACATATTCTGATGACATCTTGTCTTCTGAAACAAATATCAAAATTGATCCCACTTCTGGTCCAAGGCTCATAACACGCAGGAAGAATCTCTCTCATGCACCAGGCAATAGAAAAGATGACCTTGAAATGGCAGCTCTGGATCCCGACTTAGAAAATGATGATTTCTTTGTCAGAAAAATGGGGACTTTCCATGCAAATCCATGTGTTCTTCGAGCTTTTGAAGATTTCAAAAGATTCTCTGAGCAAGATGAACCTGTAGAGCGAGATATAATTTTGCAGTGTAGAGAAGGTGAACTTGTACTACCAGATTTAGAAAAAGATGATATGATTGTCCGCCGAATTCCAGCACCAAAAAAAGAAGTGCCTCTCTCCGGGGCCCCAGATAGATACCAGCCAGTCCCTTTTCCTGATCCCTGGACTCTGCCTCCGGAAATCCAAGCCAAATTTCTCTGTGTACTTGAAAGGACACACCCATCCAAAGAAAAAAGTAATAGCTGTAGAATATTAGTTCCTTCATATCAGCGGGAGAAAGATGACATGATGACTCGTAAGATCCAGTCTTGGAAACTGGGCACTGCTGTACCTCCCATCACCTTCACCCCTGGCCCCTGCAGTGAGGCCGATTTAGAGAAGTGGGGGGCCATTCGAGAGGCCAGTCGTCTTAGGCACAAGAAGAGGCTAATGGTGGAGAGGTCAGAGTGTGTCTCTGCAAGAGTTTGGCTTGTAATGGATAGTCTTGTGTAACTTTCCATGTGCCAAAAGGCAGTATCACATTGCTCAGCCCTGCATGTTGTGTGCTGTGTCAATGCATCCTGTAAAAATTTATTTTGCTTTTTCAGTTGTTTCATTAAAAAAAGGTGCAACTCCATATTTGCACATCTTTTAAGCCTGTTTGAAATGGTATATTACAACTCTTTGGCTTTAAGTCTGTGCTACTATTCTATAATATGAAGTTTCATAAGAATGTTTTCCAATTATATTCACAGACTTTTATTCTTATACTCAGGCATTTCTGTAATAGTCCAGTAGTAGTTTGGCTTTATGTGTTTCAAATATTTTGAGTTGCCTAAGTTTTTGAGGTATGCATATTCCTTAAAATATGGCATGGCAGATTTCATTTAACTTGACTTTTGCTTTTGATGGAGGTTTCTTAGACTACCAGCTTATATTTCTATTTATAAAGTTTACTGCAAATTTTATTAAAATGCATGAATGTTATTTACTGTCTGTTGAGTTTTACATGTATGCAGTTGTGGACATTTTGGTAATGTAATTATAATTTGCCTTTTTTATGAGTGTTTAGCTTATTGAATTTTGAGATGGACAAATCTGATTAGGCTGAGTAAAATTAGTAGACTCTAAATCTAACTTGTTACTTCCTGACAATGGGAATCCTTTTCTTATAGATTTCTTGGGTCAATAAATTGAAAGCTTTCATTTTGCTTAATCTGAGTTTCTCGAGATACAAGATGGATGAAAACTTGGAATATAATTAAAATGCAGCTGAAGAAGCAACCTTTTGAGATTTGTCCATCCTCAATTAGACTCAAAAGACTGAACAATTAGAAACTAACAAAACTGGAAATGTGACTTTTAAAATGTTTGATTTTCTGATTTCTCAGACTCTTTCAAAAGATTTATGGTGAGAATGGGTAAGTTTTGTGGTTCACAGTAAATCTGTGCTTAATTCTTGGCTTTTGTGTAACTTGTCATTGCATTTCTATCTTGGCATGTCACTAAATGGGGAATGCTCGAATCAGTGCATGAAATTTTAAAACAGGAAGTGTTTCTTAACGGTGCAACCTAACGGTACTGTTTCTGTATCTGAGTGTACAGTGCATGAAATATACTATATAAAGCAAAAATTTCTGTTATATTAGGAGTTTAAAATTTAGTTCTATCCTTTTTTCTTTTTTTAAAAAAATAATGAGTTAATAACTAAGATTATGTATACTTATTTTGATATTTGAGTGGTAAATAGACTTAAGTTTCTAATTTCTGGTTGCTAAACAATATTTTAGAAAACCTGTAGTAGAAAAAGATAATAGCATTTACTACAGGTTATAATACTGGCAGTTGGTACAATTCATATGCTCAGGTCATGGGGAGCTGTGTTAGTAGGGATGGTGAATGGCATCAGTCTTCCACTACATACATATGTACATATATATATATATATATATATATATATGTATTTATATATATATGTATATGTATATATATATTTTTTGTTTGTTTTGTTTTGTTTTTTGGTACTGAGGATCAATCTCAGGACCTCAGGACCTTGTGTTATGGAGGCAGTAGCAGTACCACTGAGCTAAATCCCCAGCCTCTTTACTACAAATATTTGGAAACATTTTCAACATTTCCGATTAGCATAAAAACTTATAGAGTTGTGTGCATAGAGCAAGACTAGATTTCCAAAATTGCAAAAATAACATCTTGCTAGTTTGCAGTACTGTTGCAAGAATGGCATCACTAGTTAATCAGTTTTTGTCTACTGAAGTTTATTTATCATATGGTAGACATGAGGACAAGACAAAACTAACCTTCACAGTTTTTCAATTTCTAGAATAATAACAAAAATTTTTAAATCATTCATTCTTATTACAGTATCACCAGGTAGCTATTTCTGAGTAGTTTCCACCAAACTTTCTGAGGTTTTTGTGAATCTTAATAGTTCTGGAGTAAGAGAATTTAAGCCTTTCAAATTTTAGTCTGCCTTAGCCTTGGGGGCTATATATTTTCCCAAGAGTTTACTTCATTTTTAAGGATATCTAATTTGAGGGCTGGGGATTTAGCTCAGTGTTACTGCTGCCTGCTTCGTATGCACAAGGGCCTGAGTTCGATCCCCAGTACTAAAAAAATAAAACAAAGGATATCTAATTTGGTAGCTTTTGATAATTTCAATGGTTCAGAAATCTGGGATGGTAACAAAATCACCATTTAATGCAATAATAAAACCATTCTAAATGTCAGAAATGTAACTGAGCCTTGGACAACTTACTGGGTGTACTTCTCAACCACTAATTAAAAAAAAATGTCTCCAGCATATTTTCAGTGTGTCATGTTAAGGCATGTTATCCTTTGCCCAGATCCTCTTACACTTAAAATACTGTTTTCATCTGTGAAGGTGAAGAAGGCTATGTGCAGAACAATACTTAAGCATCTGCCATTCTCATTTCATCATGAGAAAGCTGTTTTAACTTGATTAAAATTCTCTTAGCAGGTTTGAAAATGTGGCTTAGTGATAGAGTGCTTGCCTCCCTTGCATAAGGCCCTGGATTCACTCCCTAGTACTGTCCTCCCCTCTTCCTTTTGTAGCTTCAAGCGTTTTAAACAAGTATCAGAAAGATTGGGCATTGGTGAATTAATATGATTTTATAAAATAAGCAGGTCTCCGGAATAGTTATTTTACCTTAAGGGGATACAAGTGCTGAGAGCACAAGTACTTAATTGTCAAGTGTACATACTGTCTCACTGACTCGTGTGTTCCTCCTTAGTTAGGGAATGTTATGTGGCTAAGTTAAGATTAGAACCAGCCAGGTATGGTTGTGCGCACCTGTGATCCCAGTACTCTGGGAGGCTGAGGTAGGAAACGTGTAAATGCAAGCCCAACCTGGCCAGTTTAGCAAGACCCTATCTCTCCCACCCCGCCGCAAATAAAAAAGGTTAGGGAAGTAACTCATGAGTGTGAAGTCCTTGGGTTCAATCTGAGAGGGAGGGACTGGGTGGGGGTAGGAGGAGAGAGGAGAAGAGAAGAGGAAGGAGAATAAAGAGAGGGGAAGAGAGGGCAAGAGTAGGGAGAAGAGAGGAGAGAGGGGAGAGACCTAAATACCAAAGCTTAAAAAGCTAAAGGTCTTTCTGAACCATAGCTAGCAGCAGCAAATGGTTTCTGTAGATTCCAAGATAGTTTTTTTGGATAGGATAGTACTGTATTTGTTTTAAAGGCTGTTCCCCATGAGGCTTACTACCAAGGTAACTATACAAATAAAGCAAGATAATCTGTAAATTGAGACTGATGAATAATGCATAACTTGTCTAATAATGGAAAGTAATGTTTCTTTAGAAAACTGTAGTGTTTTTTAGACCATTTGATCCCCCATATCCTATCAGTTATCAGTGCTTTCGTGAAGCTGATGTGCAATGAAAATAAAATAAAGATTCAATTAAATACAAATTCAATTACATATAGGCCTTTAACTCACAACCCATTTTATGTTTTCATTCAGTGATCTTTCTCTGAACATAATGTACCTTGTTAAGCTTGATATACTTATTTGAAAAAGCATGATTACTCAACAACCTGTAACTGAAAAATAAGCTCCTGTTGTATGAATGCTTTCTTTTTGTTAAGGAACACTTTTAAGAGAAATGTGCAATTATCTTTTGATTTTTTTTTTTTTTTTTTGAGACAGGGTCTCACTATGTAGTTGAGACTGACCTGGAACTCACTATGTAGCCCAGGCTGGTCTCGAACTCACAGCAATCCTCCGGCCTCAGCCTCCTGAGTGCTGGAATTACAGGCATGTACCACCATGCCCGGCCATCTTTTGAATTCTTAACCTATTAAATTCTGACTTTTCATATGTTTGTGCTGAGGATTGAACCCAGGGCCTTGTGCATGCTAAGCATGTGCTCTACTACTGACCCACATGCCCAGCCTGATGTTTTGCTTCTTATTTTTCATTAACAGCTTCAGTTTATTTGTAGTAATATGCTTTGTGGGTGGCTGTGTTTCTCATGTGTGCTTTTGTGCTTCATGAATTATATCTGTATGGTTCTATGGAATTTTAGTTATGTTGTTTTCTAGAATATGCTTTTAATGAGTGATAAAGATGTGTTGTAAGGATATACAGAAATAATCTTATAATGTGATTAAGCAATTCAATCTGCACATTATCAACAGGAAACACTGATTTCAGGTGAAGTTATAATCAAATACAACTGTGACCACTTATATTTCACTTAGAGATTTTGGCCAAAGGAATCCATAGAATTATCAGGTCACAAGACAGAAAAAAGAAAGGACAAGGAAAGTTGCTGTGCTTTGCTTTATGTAGATTTTTTCATGCCAGGAGACATTTGGTAATGCCTGGAGCCACTTTTTGTCGTCACAGACAGGTGTGAGTGCATGCAACTCTCATTTAGTGCCTTATAGCCCTGGATGTTAAATGTTCCACAGCACACAGGATATTCCCCTCAAACAAACATTTCTGGCTCAAATGTCAATAGTGTTTCTATTGAGAAACCTTGCTTTAGATGATAAATCTATAAATGAAAAATCCTCATTATGTTGTTTTATGTTTATGGTAATTATAAAGCCTCTCACAAAGGTTATAGCATTGATTACTCTTCACCGAATTTTAAAATATCTAGTGAAGATCATATAGAGGTACATTAATAAATATATTTCATATTTCCTTCTCAAGGCTGGGGACCTCCTCACTTGGTCCCTTGAAATTTGTTTGCTGTATAAGGCTATCAGGTGATTTCATAGTTTGGAAAATTTGCCTTATTTTATTCCTTCTTTCTCTTTTTAGATATTCACCTGTAAGCCTGAAATCGAATTCTGAGATAATATGACTTAACACTAGCCAAGAAAGTGAGAGAAAGGGAAGAAAAATAAAAGCCAGGAGCATTATAGGCAATCTGAATTGTAGGAGAAGAGATTCATACTTTGATCTTATTTTATGATCAATACCTTTTCCATTAAATTTCCTCTTCCTCAAAATGCCACAATAATTCTATTCAACCCAAAGGCAAAATGTTATACTTGTATTTTTTGGCAAAAATCCAAATGCAGTTTTAAACTGGTCTTTCCAAATAAGGTAGATGAATTTTAAGAGAATTATGAAGTGACCAACCAGTGACAGGCGCTTCTTTAACAAACGTGTAGTCCATTATAGTTTTCCCAAACAATTTTTCTGATGCTATCTCTGGTGCTTATTTCAATTTGTGAGGTAGACAGGTAGGTGTTATCTGCATTTCAGAGACAGGGAGAAAGAGGAACAGAGATTGCAACTTTCCCAAGGATGTTGACTCATGAGTGGTAGAACTGGATTAGGGATTTGCTTCATGAGATAAGCCACAGAGGGTTCTTGGCAGTGTTTTTGGCACACAGTGAGGCCTCATGCATTTAATAATATGGTCTTCATGCTGATGAGAGAGGAAAGAATTTTTTATGACCTGACTTCAAGACTCTAGAAGTTCTAGAATATATCAGTGTAGTCTGGGGTAACTCCCTGTTTTTTTTTTTTTTTTCTTCATTACTGGGGATTGAATTCAGGATCTTGGCAGTGAGCTATGTCCTTGTCCTTTTTCATTTTTAAAAAGTTTTGAGGCATTGTCTCACTAAGTTGCCTGGGCTGAGCTTGAATTTATGATCCTTCTGCGTTAGCCTGCCAGAAGGTTGGATTATAGGAGTGGACCACCAAGTGCAGCTAACTTCTGAATTTGAGCAGATTGAAGAGTTAGCTTTCAGGAGAACCCACGTAATCATATTTGCTTTAATAAGAATTGTACATAGCGCCAGATGGGTTCCAGGCTTGCCCTTGAGGAGCACTTTTGTGAGAAGATGCATGTTAATGTTTCACTGCACAGAAATAAAAGATAGCAGTAAAAGAGGTTCTGGGTCAATTTATAAAGCCCAGCCTTCCACTAAAGAAATTTATTAAAGTATTAATTAGCACTTTCAATTTTTGTTCTGGAGTTTGTGTAACCCTCCTGTGTTGGGTGTCCAGATTCCCCTCACCTTTGTCCCAAACATTTTTTTCCTTCACTTTTTAGTGAGTCTGTTGTTGCATTAGCTCAAATAATTGCATTATATGTGGTAATGATTCCAGTGCATTTATATTATCAAAATCGTATAAATCATTTATATATATATATATATATATAATATATATGCTCAATACATATTACATCAGTAGAGTCATATATTTTCATATGTGCACTGATATATTCTGTGTTCTTCACCTTAACAAAACCTTTATAATTTTATAAAACTTGAGGGAGCAAGGAGCATTAGTGCTCTCTCATAGAATTAGAAACATTTCAAATTTAGTATATTTTGCTTGATTAAATGAGGGTGAAAGTTAACCTCATTCTTAACGCAGATATTAAATGCATCTGTACTGCATGTTGTGTGCTGTATTAATGTATTTTTATGCCCAGGAATACATAGCTTGTGAGGGAGACTGAGTCAGGAAGATTACAAATTTGAGCCACCAAGCCCAAACAACTCAGACCCTGCCAAAATTTTTTTTTTTTTTTTTTTTTTTTTT